TTATTTTGTTTTTATTTTTTTTTTTTTTTTTTGAATTTTTCTTGCCTTTTTTGTGTGGTGATGGAGGGGTGGGGGATGTTTGGGGTACACTTGTGGTGTATCCCTAGCATTTTCCTATTTGATTTCACAGCTGGGTGTAGTTTGAAAGTCATTGGAATTGTTTCAAGTGCAAACACAGCTTTCCTTTATAAAACTTGCCCTTTTGAAAATGAGTTTAAAGCATTTGTCACAGTGTAGAGTTGGTATACTGGTGCCAGAATGGAGTATTTCAGAGTATGGATTTCAAACTATTTTTTTATGAAAACTATTTTTAAAGGGCAATGCTAGGGGTGTTGGACATGTGTCCAAACCCCTTTATTATTTTTTCTGGAATATTTTTGTTTTGATAAATGACAAACAGGATGATGAAATTCAAACGATGATCGAAAATTTACTTTTCGTACCGAGAAAAGAAAAGAGGCGTATCAAGAAAGTTACGGGATAAAAATCAACGGTTCCCCAACGCAGTTTTTTGAAGTGATGTGAAGACTCCGAAGACTTTTTAATTTTTATTGAGTCTAGGATTCTTGTAAGGATGACAATATCTTTTGCACAAAACAATTTAATTTCTGAGGGATAAAAATTATTTTTGAGTCAGTTGAAAAATCACTTCTTTTCTGTCTAAAATATTTTAGGGAGTCAGTTTCAAAATAAGTGTGTCAAAATTTCTTTAAAACATTTTTAAAAGTTACACAATTTTCTTTGGTGAGAAAAATATACCTTAAATATTTTTTCGTGTACATCATTTGACACACAAAATAATTTTTGGACTCTTTTTTTCTTCTCCCCTACTCAAATTAATTGAGTAGGAGCGTCCGTTGTCCTTTGATATTCCCGTTGTCCAAAACAACGAGTTAGAAGCCAAGGGCTTCAAATCGCGCTTGGCTTGGGCCCTTTATGTTTGCGCATTATTTTTACTTTAATCGCTTGGGCCCTCTATGTCTATATTCTAAACCATAGAGGCACACATGCTCATTTCTTATTTTTTGCTTATTATTTGTTATTTTCCTTTTTTTAAATTTTTTTATCTCATTGTTTCCTTTTCCTAGAAAATTTTTTAAATTTCTTTTATATTTTTTTATAATGTTTTAAAAAATTAAAAATCCTTTGTGTTTGAAATAAAAATAAAAAAAATTAACATTTACTCCATCTATCTCAAATTAAACATTTTTTACTTTTTGTTTTCTAAAATAATTTTTTTTGGTAAACTCAAAAAGAAAATCAAGAATAAACAAATAAAAATATGGAAAAACAAATTGAAAAGTTGAAACATGCAAACAAAAAAGTCTTATTCAAAACGGAATTTCAGAATGTCTAGAAAGTCCTTAGAATTGGAACGTCAAAAGGACATTCATTTTTTTATTTAATTTTATTTCTTATTTTATTCCTCATTTTTTTGGTTCTCAACAAAAGTGTTTACTTTTTTATTTCAGAAAAAAATTGTTAACTTGAGACGTACGGGTGCAATATATGTTAATTTTTTTCAAACAAAAATAATTTTAAATTTTAAGAACATTATAAAAACAATTTTAAATATAAATTTAAAAACTCAATTAATCAAAGAAACAAATAAATGAAGAAACGGGGAAAACAAAAAGAAAATGAAAAATAATAAAATGAGCATTAGTGCCCTCTATGATTTAGAAAATAGGCACTAATGTCTTCTTTTCACCGAAAAAATGTCTGGAAAATAATCATAGGGGTACAGGTGTAACGTTTTGAAACCTCAAAGACTTTAAAAATATATTTTAAAAACAAGGAGTATTGATGCATATTTTTCAAATCACGGAAAGTACTAATGCAATTTGACGCATTATACTATGATGAAAAAACCCGTACACTTCTCTTAATTTATGGGAATTGAGACTAGATATGGCAATCGGGTCAATCGGTTTGATTCTGGTTCGAGTCTCCTTCGGATAAATGTTATAGTTGGTTCTAGTCGGTTCAATTTTGGGTTAAATTCGACTTAATTTTTTTCCGGTTTGGTTCGATTTTGATTCGGGTTTATATCGATTTGGGTTTATACTGGTTTCAGACGAGATACCTTGGTATTAAAGTTCCTAATGTTAGCCTTGTGTATTGGAAGTTCTCTTCTCCTTTCTGACTGATTAAAAAATGGCAGACTTCAAGCTTCATTCATGAATTTGAAGAGTTGATGAGCAGAATTTGAGTAGTTTCTTCAGTTCTGGAAATAGCATTGCCCTATATGGAATTGAAAGACTTTGATTGTATCTCTTTCTGGAGGGAGAAAGACCAAAGTAGGACTAAAATATTGAAAATATACCAAAATAGGACTTCTATGTTTCTATTCTCGAAATAGAACTTAAAATGCATTTACATTACCAAACATGAACATGTACATTACCAAAAAATATAGTAATGTGTACATGTACAATGCCAGATTACCACAGTGTGAAGTACTATTTAGTCTTATTTAGAGTGATATTATACTTTCTGGACTCTTGTAGAGTAGGAACTAAATTGAATTTATCTAGGGTATTTGATTTCACAGCTGGGTGTAGTTTGAAAGTCATTGGAATTGTTTCAAGTGCAAACACAGCTTTCCTTTATAAAACTTGCCCTTTTGAAAATGAGTTTAAAGCATTTGTCACAGTGTAGAGTTGGTATACTGGTGCCAGAATGGAGTAATTCAGAGTATGGATTTCAAACTATTTTTTTATGAAAACTATTTTCAAACTATTTTTATGGTGCCAATCATACACACATGCTTCTCCACCACACATCTTTTTTGATTTTTTTTTTGAATTTCTTGCCAATTATTGTGGACAAGGAGGGGGTGTGGGACATTTGGGGTATACCTTTTGGTGAACCCCTAGCATTTTTCATTTTTAAAACATAGGTCATCATCTGACCATGGTTGTACACTTGCATCCCCTTATAAAAGTAAGAGACTCAAAAAATCATGTTTCCAAAATCTGTGCTTGTTCTGAAAGGTTTGTTATGTATGGTTACAGAAAACTCCATCAAGTCCGACCCTTTCCATATGAGATTTTCTAACATCCCTCTATTTTCAAAACTTAGTCTTAAAGTTCCTGTGGTTTCAAAACATTGCATCCATACCCTTTCTGATAATTTTCCGGCCATTTTTTCTGGCAAAAAAGGGGGCATGAGTGCCTATTTTCCAAAACATAGGGGGTACTGGTGCTCATTTCTTATTTTTCATTTATTTTTACTTTCTCTTCTTATTTCCTATTCCCCCGTCCCAGAGTATTTGTCCACTTTCATTTTCACACACCATCCAATATATTTCTTTAATCTATTTTATCTTGTAGTTTGTATATTAAAAAATTATAGAAATTATATATTAATAATCTACTCCCTCCGTTTCTTAAAACTCTTCCTCTTTCACTTTTTTTGTTTTTTCTTAAAACACTTCCCATTTCTATTAAAAAACCACTTTTACCCCTACTTTTTCATACCCTACCTATCACATCATACTTTTTTCACTAACAACTAAACTATCACATCTTACTTTTACCCATCACATCAAGGGCAAAATTGGAAAGTCAACTACAATTTAACACTTTCTTATTTTCCCCCAAAGTCAAAAGAGGAACTCTTTTGAGAAACGGAGGTACTAAAGACAAATCAAACAAGATCATACATGACTATATTTAGGCTTACACATTGAGAGAATTTGATGAGTAAAAGTGCTTAGATGAACAGTTCCAAAAGTCAAAAGTGAATAAAAACTGGATGACGGAGGGAGTATATTGTTTCTTTAATTAGTCCGGTTTTTCTAAATTTCATTTTAATTTTTTATATAATGTTCTTAAAATATAAAATTTGTTTTCGTTTGAAAAAAATAACATACGAGTATATTGCATATGTACGTCTCAAACTAACAATTTTTATTTTCTATTTTCCAAACAAAGTAAAAGTTTTTCTTGACAACTTCAAAAAATGAGGAATAAAATAAGAAATAAAAAAATTGAATACCCTTTTTGGACATCCCAATCCTAAAGACTTTCTAGACGTTCTGAAAATTTCTTTTTGTACAAGATTTTTTTTGCATGTTTTTAATTTTTTTCATTTCAATTTTCCTTATTTTAATTTTTTTATTCTGAATTTTCTTTCTAAAATTACAAAAAGAATATTCTAGAAAACAAAAAGTGAAAATATTTAATTTGAGATTGATCAAATATATGTTACAATATTGATTTTTATTTTTATTTCAAACATAAAGAATTTTGAATTTTTAAAACAAAATAAAATTGAAAAGAAATTTCATAAACTTTTCTAGGAAAGGGAAATAAATAGATAAAAAAGAAAAGAACTAAAAAATAATAAATAAAAAAATGAGCACAAAAATAGGCACCAATGCCCCTTCTTTGTGGGAAAATGACCGGAAAATGATCAGAAAGAGTGTGTGTGCAACGTTTTGAAACCACGAGTACTTTAGAAATAAGTTTTGAAAACAGAGGGGGTATCAGTGTCAATTTTCCAAACCACAAGAGACAATGGAACTATTTGGCCAAAGAATCTAATCTATCCTTTGTAGTTTGTGATATAATAACTCTCTTTAAGAATAAATGGCAGGATTAATTCAACTACTTATGATTATATGCTAAAATGTACGTAATATTAAGAATCGATAACCCACTCACTTGATAATGGCAAATTCTTACTTGGATGTCAAGTGGCTACTGTTGCTTCATTGACAGCTCTTGGCCAGCAGCGCCCCTTCACTTCCTCTACAATATTTGTCTGTTCATCCTAGTAGGTAGCAACTATATGGCTTATGCAGGTATTGATTTTCTTTAGGGTGGGGTTGACGACGTTTGGGATAGAATGAATGCACTTGGGGAAGTAATGCACGCGGGCAAATTCTTCCGTGAATCTAAGGTTCGCACCCATTTTATGAACTTTAATATATATATATATAAACACCATGGACAAATTGGGCTCTTTGAAAAAAAATAAGATATCTCAATGTCAGCCCACTAAAAACGTGAGAAGGAAAGTCCACATTTCACATGTGAACTTGAGAATCATGAAAACACAACCCAAGTATGTGGTTTTAATTGTTTGAGGTAGAGTTAAAAATGGCTAGTTGAGCTACTTTGATCCATTTAACTTGATAAACAAAGTGACGAAAATGGACATGCCTTTGGAGTAGTACATTGTGGAATTTTTTGGTACCTTGGCTATGGAGGGGGGGTTTTGTGGAGATGGAAGGGCTAGGGTCCAGCATCCTGATGAAGAAAAAGACCAAGCAATATGATACCATTGGGTCCCCTTAGTAATTGAAGAAAATGGCAACTCGCTGGCATGACTCCGGCAGTAGACTTTATAGGTTTTGCCAAAAGTTTGTATGCGTGGACTATGTTACTCGGTAAAAGGATTAATCGTTTTGTAAATTAAGTCACTATCCATGACATTGACAACCAATGTCATGGGATGACCAGAGAGTATTTCGGTGCCTTGTTCGTAAAATTGATGGTTCTTAATGTCATGGAAACTGGACTCTTAAGTCAATGATCTTTTGTAAAATGTTATTGAGTAAATTTCTAAAATGATACTCAATAACTATGTGTTTTTCGAAATTAGTACTCAAGACGAACTAATTACTCGGATAGTTCTTGCTAATTGAAATAATACCCAGTTTAGTCCCACTGACTAACGGACATCAAAATGGCATTTAAACTTTTACTAATTTTCCAAATTGATTAAATATAATGAGATGTTTTTTCAAGTTAGTCTATTTTCAATGTAAAAACTCATTTAATATGAAAAAACCGAAGCAAGATTCTTCCCTTTTAATTGATTCACATTATTTGAGCAAAGTTAGGAGACCATTTTTATGAGATTTTATTTCTAAAATTGACTACTTTGGAAAAAAATTTGATTATAAATGATCATTTTAGAAAATAGCTATAAAGCTTTAATGTCGTTTTGACTCCATTTTGATGACGGTAAATCGGGGGAACTAAACTAGACATTATATTTAATTAACGGGTGCAATCTCGATAATTAGTTCATCTTAGGAACTAATTTTAAAAAACACATTGTTATTGAGTACTATTTTGAGAATTTACTCAATATTATTTGTAAAAATAGCACATATAAAATCACATTTTTAAGACTATTGTACCATCCTATTTGTGTACTCTTTAAAATTGATTTAGAACTTTAATGCACAAGTTTTTTGAATAAAAATATTATTCTTTGTTAAAACATTATATAAAAATTAATAAATATTTGTGAAAGTTCGCGTATCATTCAAAAAAAATTACTCCATTTTTATAAGAATATTTTATTAATACGGATATGGCATTACAAGTTCTTCCCACCTTAGAGGAATTTCGTCCCCAAAATTTGCTACATCACTATAATTCAACTCATGGAAAAATTGGGGACTTTCTGATGCAACAAAATTATGACGAATAAGATGACTTAGAAATAGAGTCAACTGGGATATCACAAAATGGTTCTTCTAGGTCAGAATTGTAATGAGCAAGGTTGATTAGGCTCGGCCTCCCTGTGGGTCTGGTGTCGTCAGGGTTACATCTTTCGTGAGCATGGCCTAGTTCGCCACACAAATGACACCTTTTGTTTTCCTTTTGTTCTACTTCTTCTTCTTCTTCTTTGACGTTGCCTCATTTTGAGATTCTCATGTTCTTGTCCTATGGGCTGATGATCCATTGGCCTCCTTATGTGTTTCTCCCCACCTTGGAATTTTCCTTGTCTTCTCCCTTTGAAATTGTCTCAGCTTCCTCTGTGATAAGTACCAAATTCTCAAATTCGGACATTGGCAGTACGTGCATGATTCTAGCTATGAATACCATGAGCCTATTGCTCAACATCTTGTCATTTGTTGCATACTCAGGTAAGAATAACGATGCACTACTCAAGGCCTCTTGACATTTTCTTACCATGTTGCCCCCTGCTTATAGGTAAAGAAGAAGGCTTCAAAATGCTCATGTTCCACTGATGAGTAATGATAGGTGTTAAACTCGCGAACGTACAAAATCAAACCAAGTGGGTTCATTGTTCAGACGTCTCTTAGTGTGCTCCCTCCAAACTCGTGCACGCAGCTCCCATCGATCAAAAGTTATGGTGCTATCTGGATCCTCGGATCATCTGAGATATCAAGGTTGCGGGAGGTGTCAACCACCCTCCTCATCCATCTATGCGCTCTATTCATACTCCCACTTCTGTCAAAAGTAAGACAATTTGAGTTCGTCGCACTCGCCAAGTGCCTCACAAGTGCTCTTCGCTGAGTAGCTTGTGAGTTGGTGGACGATGGTGTGGAAATTCGAGGGGTATTAGTTGGGACCATAGGAGATTGTTTTTCTTCGTGAAATACTAGGAGAAATCGTGATGGTGACCACAAACGGGGTTAGTGTGGATAGAAGAACATGCCTACCGATGGCGACCCTTAGTTGAGGGTTTGGGAGGCTTGCTTGCTCGTTGGGTGGATTGTGGGAATCCCTTCTGGGTTGATTTTGTTGGCGACCCTCTTCCCGCACTATGTTTTTCGCTCTCTTGCTGGCCATTGGGCACTGCAAGCAAGAACTAGTATTTTGGCTTGTTATGACTTTGACTAGTTTGGTATGGATGATGTTTCAACCCTTCTCCTTCTTTTCCCTTTTTATACTACCCTTAAATTAGTGTCTTCATGCATGGTAATTAATGAGATCATTTGATCTTACCGTTGACAATACAAACTTCAGTTGTCTTCTAACAGAGGTGACCATTAGCGTGGTGCTCTTGTTTCGAGAAATCTTCAAAGATCTTAGGTATTACTCCTTTCATTGTTTTTTTAACACTGTAATGCGACAGAATCATTTTATGTTTTTTTTCTTTCAAATTTTTTGAACTAAACATAGTGCTAATGATTTTTGCGGGAGTCCTCTCGTCTAGGCCCTTCGTTACCTTACTTCATTGTCTTCCTCGTACTCTCTTGGGATATGGGGGACATCTTCCCACCGCTGAACCCAACCTCCTTCGAGTAATTTAAGACATTTTCGGATTTTAATCATGGGAATTAATTTTTCTCAAAACAAAACACTTCAATTGTAGGAAGTTGCTTGCTTGCTCTGATTGATAGCCGCTTAAATGACATGAGATCCGACATATTTGCGTGGGATTACTGTAATAATTAATTAAGGTTGTTTCGATTGTTATCTCACATAATGGCATAATCAAAAGGTGCTACCTTAACTACGTTCTCTAATTATTATATCCATGGAAAACCATCATGTTTTACAAGTAATCATTTTCCGTCAAACTATGATTTTCTCAGACACTATTCACATAGTCAAACTTAATTCACTTTGCTTGTTTATTTTTATTACTCATCTCATAAAATAATATAGTGTTATCACCGCTAGTTTTGTAAAATTTTTCATGTAGTTTATTACTACATAGATTTTATATTAAAATTTTACCCCTATATACAAATAAATTGAATTGAAAACAAAGTCGATCAAGCCTCATAGTAACTCCTCTTTAGATGATTATCAACGTGGAACAATAATATTTTCCTAAACGAACCTAATCTTCTCTCTTCTCATATCTCATTCTTCTTTTTCCTCAATTATTTTCCTTCTTCTCTAATTTCTTACACTATGTTTGGTTCAAGGAATTTGAGAGAGAAAGGAAAAGAAAATGAGAAGGAAAACATTTTTTCTTGTTTGGTTAGAGAGGAAAAGAAAAGTGGAAGGAAAAGAGAATGAGAAAGCAAAATGTATTAAGAGGATGGAAAACAAAATTCCTCCCATTTTGGTGAGGAAACTAATGGAAAATCATTTTCTTTTCTTTTCCTTCCAAATTCCATGAACCAAACATAGTGTTAATATTTCGCGTATGTCCGATGCATTACTGCACCAATTGGTGCTCATAAATAAGGGCATGGTTCCGTTGACACTAGCCAACGATGCCTGCCACTAGTGGTGCCACTGTATTTTCGGAGGATCACCCGTGCTTCGTTCAAAAAATTGATGGTTCCTACCCCACTTAACCCACCCTGACCCCTAAGCTTCCATCCTAGCCTCACCCTACCCCTACCCCTACCCCTACTTCAGCCTCACCCTAAGCCTCCCTCCAAATGTGTGGCTATTATCCACACATTTGTAGGGGAGCCTAGGGCGGGATTGGGGTGGGGCTAATGTGGGAGGTTTAGGGGTGGGTTAGAGGGTAGAAACCATCAATTTTTTGAACAGAACATTCGAGATGCTCTAAAAATACAGTGGCACCGTTGACAGTGTCAGCGGAACTCCACTCCCTATAAACAATTAACCAACCTATATCAGCATTATCGTGTTGTATCGCTACCACCCCGATAGAGATCTACGTACATTGTCCTCAAGGTGTAAGTTAATAAAAGAAAGGTGTGTAGCTTTGTAGATGTTCCAAAAGGGGGGTATTCCATTCGAGCTTTTGGACAGGGGATTTAGTACTCCCTCCGTCCCTAAATATTGACAACATTTGCTTTTTCAGGAGTCGCGAGAACTTTTGTTTATTTCGACGTTTTTATTGGTTATTTGATAAAATAAAATATTCTTAACACCTCTTATTTCAAAGAACTTTTCATTCAACCACTCTGCTAATCCGACTGCTTCAGCCCTGCTTCATTCAACCACTCTTCTTTTATATGTTCACCATTTTATTTTTAATTTATTTTATTTTGTGAGCACCAACTGATACTACAACTACCCACATTTCATTTTTTTTAATTAAAAATCGAATCAAGTCAAACTCAAGAGTACACCAAAACAAAAAGTTGTAAATTAATGTTGTGGAGTAACTTTTGTTGTAAAAATTGTTTGTTTTAAGATTCAAGAAGTACACCAAATACTAGGAGCTATAATCTCATCTCAAATGGAGTAATTCTCAATATATATGATCATGCTACAGAAACAAGGTAGCCTAGCTAGCCATCCAGCTTATCATGAGCAGTGAAGAGTGAGTGAATCCATCATCGACAGCCGGCCGGAAATGGTGCCTGGCCGGGCTTAGATCATCAAGAAGCTATAGCTCCGCCGCCGCCGCCGCCTGCATCGTCCGTCACCGGTTGAGATGTGCCACCTTGCTACCGGCCGGTAATATTTACGGGACGACCGGAATTCATTAAAATGTACCCTGCCTCCGCCGTACCGACCGGTAATACGACGGGATCGGATGGTGTCTCTGATAGATCTTTACAAAAATTCAATTCACCTATGATTATTCATTGGAGAACCAACCCATACATTTGGGTTTAAAAGTTTAAGATTTTTCTTTCCAATATGTACCGTTTTACCCTTTACTTTACTATGGAGTATTCCATTAAAATTTTAGAGAGAATAAAAATTAAAAAGTAAAAAAAAAAAAAAAAAAGTTTACCCACCGAAAGCCACTGATCGAGAAAGTGAAAACGTGGTTAGTCCGCCACTGACTCCACTTTGAAGCAGCTAAGCCGTTTCGCTACGGCGGCCCACAGGCGGGACCCAGCTCCACGCCGCTCCGATCGGCGGCGGCCACCGGCCTTCTCATCAACCACCCCTTCATCCGCCGCGGCGGATGGCAACACCCTCTTGGGAGAGAGCCGCCGGCGCTGCCTCTCCCTGATGGCGACCAGATCCATCTCCGGCTTGAACCTTACCGGCCCGAACATGAACATCCGCCGCCGCGACGCCGCCGACATGGTGGTCAGGGAGCTTATATTCACCTTCCGCGAATCGGAGCGGGACCGCTCCGAGCCCGACCCGGATGATTCCCTCTTCCCGCTGAAGGAGTGGGACCGGAAGTAATCCCATTTCTGGGTCCCGTTGATCTCGACGGCCGAATCGCTCATCCGGTGTTTCTCCACCGCCGGGAAATCGGAGAAGAAGTAGAACACGTCTTGCGGCGGGGACGGCGTCCAGGGCTGGCGGTCTTCTTTCCCGTTCTCGATTTCAAGGTACCGGAAAGACAGAGGAGAGGGGCAATCGCCGCCGCCGTCCTCGCCGCCGCTATCCCTTTCCAATTCCATGTCAGAGAAACGCTCCATTGGGGTTATAAGAATGGGAAAGAAGAGGGGGGGAAGAGAATAAAGTGATGGGGATATATAAAGAAAGTCCGATCGGATCGGAATCTTTTACTGCGCCATTTTTTCCGGTAATGGTCGGGTGGCGCGTTGTTTATTTATAAATTGTGAATATATAGGGCTCGTTGGCAAAAAAGAAAAAAAAATAATCTCAATTTCTTCCTTTTAATATATTCCCAAATGGGACTCTTATTTCAAATATTTTGGACAAGATTTTCCGGCTAAAGACTTTTTGGGTACGTTTAACAGAGACTGTTTTGTTTTTAAAAACTAAAATTTAAAAAGATTATTATCTTTAAAGAAATTCCTAAATTCTAAAGGTTTCTTAAAAGGCGCAAAAGAGGTTTTTGACTAGTGTTTTGGGTAAGGGACTAAAATGTCAAAGATCTAGAACAATACCGACTACTCCCTCCGTCTCCTGTATTTGTCCACTTTCATTTTTACACACCATCCAATGCATTTCTTTAATCCATTTTATCTTGTAATTTGTATATTAAAAAATTATAAAAATTATATATTAATACTCTATATGTTAAGACAAATCAAACAAAATCACACATATTTAGGCTTACACATTGAGAGAATTTGATGAGCCAAAGTGCTTAGATGAACAGTTCCAAAAGTCAAATGTGGACAAATACAGAGGAACGGAGGGAGTAATTAAGTGTCATCCTTGACGTCCCAAAAACAAATTTTGATGGAAATATTATTAGAAAGCTTAACACTATGTTTGGTTCAAGGAATTCAAAAGGGAAAAGAAAAGAAAATGAAGTGGGAAACAAGTTTTCTTGTTTGGTTAGAAAGAAAATATGGAAGGAAAAGAAAATGAGAAGGCAAAATGTACCAACTGGAAGGAAAACCAAATTTATCCCATTTTAGTGGAAAATGAGAGAAAACCTTTTTTTTTCCTTCAAAATTCCTTGAACCAAACATAGTGTAAAAGAGTTGCAAGACAGACAGAGTAAAAAAGAAGCCATAAATGAAAATATTAAAAAGCTTAAAAGAGTTGCAAGAAAGAAGATAAAAAGGAAGCCATGAAGAAGAAGATGATGATGATGAGACATTGATGGATATTGGGCCTGACATATAATGAAGGTTTCAGTGTTTGGGCAATCACCGCTAATCGATTGCCTTCGAGCAATCCTAGTGTGAAAAGTCAAAATCATTTCTCGAAGAAGCAATAATGTTAGGTAGGGGTGGACACGGTACGGTTCCGGGACGATTTCGGTAACGCCATCCCTTGGTATCGGTACCGTGATCGGACCGGCCGGTACCGGTTCCGGTACCGGACCGGCCACCAAATTCTTCTGCGATTTCCAGTCGCCGACTCGCTAATGGCTATTGTTGCGGAACAATCCGATGATAGCGATGAGAGCATGTTACTTCTGCTGACCAATTTCTTCTGCGGTACTCCGTTCTCTTCTTCTTTTTTTTGAGAAATTGGGCTATTGGGCCATGGATGAAGTATTGGCCATTTGGCGTGCTTCTTCTTCCTTCAATGTTCTTCGAGAGATCGAGCGGCTGCTTGAGTTGAGGGCGATGGTTGGATTGCCGGAAGAGAGAAAAAAATTACACGGTACGGTACCGCCGGTTTCGGGACAAAAATGTTGGCACCGGAACCGGTACCGAGTGGGGCGGTGCCGGTACCGGTTCCTAGTACCGGGTGACGAAACGGTCGACGAGGATGGTTGCAGGTACCGCCGGTACCGGCGCCAGTAACGGTGCCGAACCGGTACCGTGTCCAGCCCTAATGTTAGGTAGTCCGCTCGAGTATTGTACCAAAATATCTCAAGTCTCGGGAAAAAATGTACTACCTCCGTTTCAGTGTATTTGTCTAGTTTGACTTTTTCAAGTCAAACTGGAAAAACTTTGGACTCTAATTACTCTCAATTTATATTGCATATTAGCATAATGAAATGCAATTTTGAAAGGTCTCAATACGATAAATCCAATAAAGTTATTTTTATGTTAAAATACATTATAGTTTTTATTTAATTGAAACTTAAAGTTTGTCTAATTTGACTCGAAAAAGTCAAACTGGATAATTACACTGGGACGGAGGTAGTATGTTAAATGTCAGTGGAATCGAAAGTATTTTGGTATCTTCTACTCCGTATCATTTAGACTTAAAATATGTTATCAAAATGCTTCTTTATAACTAAGTGAATTTCAAACTGATAATTTCTAAGTAATTGTTTTTCTCAAGATGGAGTCCTTGTATTCGAGATGGGTTCGTTCCTCTAGCAGCCACCCACTTAATTTGAAAGGGCCATTTTGAAGATTTATTCATAGTTTAGATGATAAAAATACTAAAATATCTTTCATTTAACTGTCATTTAATAGGCATTTTTTACAGCGAATTATTTAAGAAATACATCTAAATTAAAAATATTTATTAAATGTTAGTCAATAGCAGGTATTTTTATATTTTCTATCATCTAGACTTAAAATATGTTCTCGAAATGCTCCTTTTTAATTAAGTGAATTTCAATTTGAGGATTTCTAAGTAAATGTTTTTTTTGGAAATGGAGTCCATGAGTCTACTCGGGGTGAATTCATTCCTCTAGCAGTCACCGACTTAATTTGATAGGACCATTTTGGAAACATATTCATAGTTTAGATGATGAAAAATATTAAAATACCGTTCATTTAACTGTTATTTTAGGTATTTTTTTTACAGAAAACTATTTAGGAAATACATCTCAATTAAACACTTTTGAAGGGTCAAGTTGGTGATTATTACATATTGAGAACTAATTTAAAAGAATACTTTATTAGAAAGAATAAATTTGAGACACATGATATTAAACTCGAGTGTTAAAATAGATTTGCACACATCAAATTATCAAAAAAAAAATTCCACCACGAGTTAGATACGAATAAAACCCCACTGAAAACAAAAAAATTTGTTAGTTGTTAAAAACACAGAACAAGAATGTTATTTAAGGAGCATTTCAAGAATTGAACTTGAGACTTCTCGAACTGAAAGTCATGCCAATGCCATCTAGACCAAATGCCTGTGTCGGTCTAGTCAACATCCAAAAACTTTATAACTAGGTAATATTCTCTACCTCCGCAAACCCTACTACTCAAGGCGAGGGGGAGAGAGGGGACATTCCACAGTTGTGTCTCTATATCGAAAACCTCTCTGGCGAAAATGGCAGGAGCCGCGACATCCCTTTTCCGTTTGGTTCGATCTCAGGCCACTCATTTCAGCTCCTCCAACTTTCGATCAGGTTCTTTTTCTTCTTCTTCTTCTCCACCACTCTTTTAACTTCCATTTTAATGTAGTTCGATTCATAAAAGCCCAAACACTTTGTTTTGAGCTGATGCGGTTATTCACTGCTTGCCTGATGCTATTATCCATGTCTATTGAAGCAATTCAATGTCTATTCTGTGAACGCCTAGCCCATCAATGTTTCAGCTCAAATTAAACATTTTTATGAATCTCGGTTCGATTTTGGTGAATCTTGTGCTGGTTTAATGCTATAATTGCATAGATTTGTAGACTTTTTTCATCCGTTCGTGTCTGGGTAAGCTTACAAATCAAACAGATTGAGTACATACCCTCAAGAGTTGGGCTTGGAGTAGAGGGGCTGTTTCGGGAGGGCTCCTGGCAAACAATGTAAATTAAGCCTGATAGAAGCATGTCATTTCTACTATGCACTGCATTTCTTGAAGTTCTTTTTGTTCATGTGTCGATCAAACATTATTTGTGTTTTTTAAAATATACTTTACTTAGCAAGTAGGTCGAAGTAGATCAAGTGTTTCATCCTTGACATTTCTTTTTGCTTTTTAATCTTGCAATGTTTTTTTTGTAATGTGGATCTTTTTTGTGTGAGGTATTTAATGCTCATATTTGGCAGTTCAACTCTTTGAAGATTGAAAGAACTATCATTTTTTTTAAGTAGGAAAGAATTATCATAATAATGCTCAATATAGGATCTATCATTTAGTTTCCAAAAGATGAAAAGAAAATTAAGAGCACTTCATTTCTCCTTGCGTATATTTGCTTTTACATGCAGTTTACAGATGTTTGCGCTCAGGTGAACAATATTTACGGTCTCTATATGTTAATGAAAATGATTCTAAAACCTAGTAAGAGGTGATTGAAATGTTATACGATCACATAGTACGTTAATCTTTCATTTTTTATCTATAATCTCAAATATATTTCAAAAGATAAACCAAGCCGTCAAGACCCTTTCCCATTTAAACAGAAAGATTATTTTAGGACGGATCAATAAGGAATAAAAAAGGACTGGAAGGGGAGAGTGAGAGTATTTGATTGATATTTGGCTTGAAAGAGGATTCCCATTTTCCATTTCTTTTGTTAAAACAAAAGCTGTATACCAGTTGTTAACGCAAGTCAGTTAAACAGGTTTTCATCAGGCGACCTATGGGACCTTGTCTCATGCACATGTCAAAGCAGCTTGCAATTATGGAAGGGAGAATGCTGCTATTCAGAAGAGGTGGTTATCTAAATCCACTTCAGCAGAAGAGGATAACAAGATAAGTATTGGACCTCAAAAGGGGAATGATGATGCAGGGAAGGGTGAAAAAGACGCGGGTGTTGTATACTACGGTCCAATATCAAGCACCATCAAGAAAGTGAAGCTTCTCTCTTTGTCAACCTGTTGCCTCTCCGTGTCCCTAGGGCCGGTGATAACATTCATGACATCACCAGACATGAATGTGATCCTAAAGGGAGCGGTGGCATCTTCGGTAATCTTCTTGAGTGCTACCACCACCGGTGCTCTTCACTGGTTTGTGAGCCCTTACGTTCACAAACTCCGGTGGCAGCCTGGATCAGACTGTTTTGAGGTGGAGATGATGTCATGGCTGGCCACGCTCATCCCGAGGACTATTCAGTTTGCAGATATCAGGCCACCTGAGACCAACAGACCGTTTGTGACATTTAAGGCGAACGGGAATTTCTATTTTGTTGATGCGGAGCACTGCCATAACAAGGCATTGTTAGCAAAGTTGACACCAAAGGGAGCACCTCACGGTTCAGCTCTGAAGAACCTGTGATGAGAACAACCACTTCAGTTCACCCGGTGGTCTCTTTTTCTTGGGCGGTATGTCCTTTTTTTTTCTCTGTTTTCTTCGTGCCCGACCGACTCATGGAACTGATTTTTGAAAGGAGAGGAGAAGTAATGTAGAAACATTGGAATAATCTCACTGCATTGTAGCAAGAGCTTATTTGCTTGGAGTTTAAACTCCACCAGAGCTTATTTCTTGTGTTCCCAGTGTTAGATGGTTCTGTGTGAGTGGATATTTTCTATATAAACAAGGGCAAGATATGGGCTTAGACACATGTTTATTAAAATAACCATTATGTATTACCCTCTAGTCAAAGATTTTATGGTTGAGTGAGACAATTGTGACTCTCTCAAGTAGGAGATCACAAGTTCAAATTCACTTATGACATGTTTTAGAATTTAAATTTATTTCTTATTTTTCAAACACTACCTTAAGAAATTATTATGAACTCTCTATAAGATCTTGGAGGTAGGATATGGGAATTGTTGACCTTATTGACAATGTTTAACTCAATTCATTTATAAAAGTTATTTATTTACACACTATTAAAGTTTTAGAAATAAAAATTGATAAGCGTATACACCCTTTTTTTGCAATTTCTTGAGACTAACCGATAAAATTCATCCATAAATCTTATTGTTTTGATTTTAGGTTTCACCAAGAAGACTAATAATTGAGAGATGGAACGATCATTTCAGTTTTGGGTTTAGAGCTTCAAACTCAGCGACGAGTTTGAGAAAGAGTACGAGAGAAGGGAGGAAACTTAATTGAGGAGATGAAGAAGTATGAATATACAATTTTATCCATTTCTTAACAAAAACGTTAACAAAGGATCATTCGTGAAAAATAATATAATAATTGAGGACTAAATTAGTAATATTTGATATGTAGGGACTAAATATATAAAACGACCTGGAGACCTTTTATGGAATTTACTCCAAATAAAACTTACAAATTTGAAAACAACATAAAAAATTCTACAAGATAAGAGGTGATATGACTATATTATCAAATTACTAACAAATATAAATAAATAAAATGAATAAATTCTAACCATGTGAATGTTACACAATCAATTTAAATTGGGACTAAGGGAGAAATTAATTCTGTGCATTTCGTATGGAGTTTAAATTTTTAAAAAATAATGTTTATATATTTCAAGTTTCAACTACATCAAAAATTCTACAAAATAAAAAGTTATTCCAATTTTTATAAAGATGTAAATTTGAACATATGAAACTTCTTCTCTATGGGATCTTCTGTCTATTTGAAACAATTTCACACTTTTTTTTAAAAAAAAAAGGTTTAAAAATCAACTTTACACTTTCCAGTTTTAGAAAATAAATATGTGGACATCATTTATTTTGTCTAAATAATTCTCGCGAAGTCAAACCATCATATTTTTTTAAAAGATGAAGTATCATCATATATATATTTTTAAAGCTGAGCGGCTTAAATGCGGTAACGACATGTGTCATGCCACACGTGTACATTTGTAACTTGTGTCATGCCACATCTGTATCACATGCCACGTGGCATGCCATGTGTGTGCATTAATTTTTATATTAATTAATTACTCCCTCCGTCCGGATTTTAAGTTCCCGGTTTGACTTTTACTCATTTTTAATGTGTTGACTCTGAATGTAGTTTGTCTAAAATACCCTTGGTACCCAATGCCTGATTTGAAGGCTTGCAACTGCCCAGCCTCCAATTCCCGATTGGGCCACGACCACACCATGGCCACCCCAACTCCCACTACCACCAACCCACCACCGCTCCCACCGCCGCAGCCTATAGTCACCGTCGGTCCACCATCTTCGTTAGACCCCACCACCATCAATCCAGCCCCACCATCACCGCTAACCCCCCCACCATCGTCACCGCCGACTCCATTGCCGCCAACCCTCGCCACCATCACCCAACTCCACCGTCATCGCCAGCCCTACCATCGCCCCAAACTGCCACCATTGTCATAAAGAATAAAATGATGATGATAATCAAAGCGTAGATCTGCATAGATCTACCGCAGATCTGAGAAGACAATTAGAGGAATGAAGGAGAAAGAAAAAGAAAAAGAAAGGAGTAGGAGCTAATTTTGGAGAGAGAAGGAATAGAAAAGAAGGGGGATTCAGTAGAGAAGAAGAAGAAGAACGAGAGAAGAAGAAGAGGAAGGAGGAGGCAGAGAGAGAAGAAAAGGAAGATAGATTGGAAAGGTTGGGCGATGAATAAGAAAGAGCCAGGAGAAAAGATAAGGGGGTGTGTGGGGAGGGTATTTTAGGAAGAGTGGGTAAAAAAACGTATACTGGGAACTTTATTTTCGGACGGAAAAAAGAGTAGACTGGGAACTTAAAATCCGGACGGAGGGAGTACTATTTTTATTATTCTTTATAAATTCCTTCAGTTTATAAACTTTCACTTTCTAACTTTAATAATAATTTTTGTATTATATTTTCATCATTGTAATATATTTCAAAGTTCGAAAACTAATTTCATTAATTTAAAAATTTTAAATAAGTTATTTTTTGTAATCCGTAATTTATATTTCTATAACTTCTAAAAAGTAATTTCTTTAATTTATCACATTTGCATCTTTTTTGAGTGCTATTGACTTTATTACATAAGCATTTTTATTAACTACTCCTTCCATCTTTTGAAAAACTTCCCATTTTGACTTTTAAATGATTTAAGAGAAGTGTATTTTGGTGTTGACTTTCTAAAAATGCCTTTGATATAATGGATAAAATAGGATAATATGGTAGATTAATAGAGAAAAAGTGTAATATGATAGGCAGGTTAAGAATTAATAGGGGTAAATGTGATTTTTTATTAGAAAAGAGAATAGTTTTTTGGGACGGATAAAAAAAATGAGAAGGATTTTGTGGGGCAGAAGGAGTATATGATACTCCCTCCGTCCGGAAATATTCTTCCCATTTGACTTTTCTTGCTCAAAGTTTATAAACTTTGACTATGATAAGTGGAAAAAATACATTGTCGGACGGAGGGAGTATATTTTAAAACTTTAGATTTATTTTATTATACACCCTCTATCTTAAAACTGACTTCTCAATCTACGAGATTTGACCGAAGGTATTTTAAATTCAATTTGTTTGATTATGTGTAAAATTTAAAAATAAACCTTTTATATTTAAAACTATATCAAAAATTTTAAAAAATATAAATGACATGACTATATTATTTTATCAAATGACAAATAAAAATAAAAAATAAAATGTTAAAATTTTAGAATATTTACGGGCCCGTGCAAAGCACGGGTTTAACACTAGTGACTAATATATACGGAGTAGTCCTCCATATGATTTTGAGACTGACTTTTTTGCTCTTGGAGTAAAATAGACTTATGGTATAATAGGAGTAATAATTAAGTTGTTATCACTAACTTCCAATTCCAACCATACATGGAATAATAGTGCAACTTCATTTGGATATTCTTATAAATTGGATATTCATTTAAACATATAATCATATCCAATCACTTTTTTTTATTTCATCTATACCTTTTTAATCAAGATATAATTTTTTTTTCAAATAGTACTCCGTAATAAATAAATGTGTAGCTCTTAAATAAACATTTCTCAAAATGAGCTTTAGACTTTGGTTTTATGAACTTAAAAGGAGTGTTTAAAAATGAAAAATGTCTAATGCTTGTAGATAGGAAAATGCTAATTTAACACTTTCTATTTGTAAGTGACCCAATAATGGATATATAAGATTGACAAGAACTTTGGTCAATGGACAAGTTTCCAAGCTCTCTGCATGATCTCATCATCTATGAAAGGGCGCAGCGACCACATTAAGCAGTACGTTTCGAGCTCTCCCGTTGACGATTTGAGATTCAGAGACGAAATAATCTTTTCCTGTAAGAACGTCGCAGACGAAAACAGAGGCCATTGAAGAAGAGATATACATATAGATCAATCATCAGGTTGCGTTGAACTACAGACATACACTAGAGGGACGAAATGGTCATTTTACCTGCATCGCGTAGTCTTTTTTAACCATACTGCATACTGCCGCCATCACCATAGCAACCTCTATGAGTGTTTTGCTTGATACAATCGATGGCTGAAATAACAAACGATCGAAGAGAAAACTAAAATTATGAAATTTCAAACCTGAGGCTGCTCTTTGGGATTTGGGATGCATAGAAAATTAAAATTATAGAACAGAAAAAATAAAGGATCATACCCTTTCAGTTAAGGTTGTTTCATAGTCCAAATCGCAATCGATATCTCTGTCCATTGCACAAGCCAGGTTGTATTTTGCACTTTGCATTGTAGCAACAGTATCATCCAGAAGGCTGCCAAGTTCATCCACCAAGCATTTTGCTGTAATTAACAATACATGCAACATTTTGTAGTTCAGGCAGTCTGTTAAGGGAAGATATTGATGCATATTCCATTGAATTATCTATTTATAAATTCCATTTAAGACAAATAGTCTAGGAGATTATCATAAAAGAAGTAGCACATTTTATTGTCTATACCTGTTGTTTATACGGTACTCTGTTGTGCAAAGAAAAGGTTGTATTTCGCAAATGTACAAATTTTGTATTTTAGTGAAGTACAACTACTTGAAATCATCAAATATAACTATACTTTTAAATTGATTTGTTGGTCTAAACAAATTAAACAGACCCAGATGGGACACTTTTTAGTAACAAAACATTAAACATGTAAAATCTGCTTCTGTTCAAATTTTTTATCTTTATAGGGAAAATAAAAATTTCAAACACCAGCAACTAAATAAGACTAAAAATTTGGAAGGATATTCAGTTAAGATCAAAAGCATTAAATGAAAAAAAAATTGGTTGGTTGTAATTCCTGGGCACACTATACCTTTAGTTTTGTGATCCTGCAGTTCACTGTGACATGTATGCACTTCTGCAAGCATAAAACAAAGGTTAAATATATGGAAACATACAGAAAACACACACCATCAACCCCCCAAAGACGCTTACTTCCCACAATTGAGGTGTGCGCAAACATTACCCCTACCTAAGAAGGTAGAGAAGTTTATGAAACAACTTTGGCTCAAGAAAACATAAAAACATATTAGAACAACCAGTGAACAAGCTAGACTGTTGAGCTCAAATTTGCTGGACAACACCCATTGTGTATTACTCTGTACAACACTACATATCTAATCAAGACAACATACTATGAACAAATAAACACATATGAAAGCATTGCATAAGAAGTCTATCATGCATGTTTTAGAACAATACACTCTTTTTTCCTTTGTGTTAACTGTTTAGAGATATCGACATCCACAGTCTATCATGCATGTTTTAGAAAAATACACTCTTGTTTCCTTAGTGTTAACTGCTTAGAAATATTGACATCCAGTCTATTAGTAAGAGCTTACATGAAATATTGGAACATAAATTGTTTCCGCATAACTATATGGAAGTAATGATCAAATTACCCAGCTCCAACTCATGAGGAATGTCGTTTAACGTGTATAGGTTTTTTAGCTGATAGCAAAAGTAAGTCCTTTCTCGCTAAATAAACTGCACTGTTGTGTTTGAGATGTTTGAGGAAAGTTATTTTCAATTTAATTTATTTGAATATTGGTGTAAAATTTAAAAAAATACATATTTTAAAACTACATCATAAGTTCTAGAAAGCCATAGATGACATGAATATGTTATTGTAGAAAAATGATTAATGTTAATAAAAAAAGAAGATATAGTCAGATGGTGTGAATAATAAAAGTAAAATTTATTTAGGGATGAAGGGAGAACAAGTCTGAAGAACATTACACATATTGAACGTATAAGGTAAAAAGAATAGAAGATAAAAACAAAGTAACCACTCATATCCATGCATGATTGAGAATAAAGAGGCTATATATGCATGATTTATATATGGATGTATGAGCACAGGACATTTACACTTGTTTATATTCTGAATACTGTCATTGGTGTTCTTGCATCCAGACTCAATGTAGGACACCAGCCTCTTGGTTTCATTAGCTTTGATAATGGACTCGACCAAATCAGGATACTTTTCAATCCGAGGCCTTTGAACATATTCTGCACGAAACAGGCATGCATGACATCATGAGAAAAACAAAAGATATAGAATTTTTCATCCTCAGATACTCAAATGGATGTCCCCGAGCTCACCAAGTCCTTGCTGAAAGCCAACTAGCAATTTGTTCCCTACAGATGATAGTTCCTCAAACTTTACAATACTGGAATTCCAGTAAATAAACAAGGAAAACAGATAGTTAGCGAAGTTCATAGTATGCCATCCCATGGAGAATCTAAAAAAAGAAGATTCAATCACATAATCTCTACTACATTACACTATATCAAGCAGCTTTTGTTAGTCAGACAATACTTTTAAATTTATTAACCTTGTCATAAATTTTGAGAAGATGCGCAACATCGTTTCACCACACTCATGCATTGATCCATCTTCCTGATTTTCCATTCTGAAAAAACAAGATCAGTTAATAGATATTACAACTCAGAAGATTGAAAAGCAAGCAGCAATCAACATTACAAAGAACATTAAGCATTTGAAGAAAGCCTGAAGTATCATAGTGAGTTGTTGGGCATGTTTTACACTTCACGGTCCACATAGGGAATAGCTTGGACCTATGAAGCACAGGCGCAGGTGCGGCGACCGGTGCGGGTGCATGACCAGTGCGTGGGTGCGGAAATTTTCAAAAAAAAAAAACAGGGTGCCGGTGCAGCAAATTTATTTATACATTTTTAATTTGTATTAAACATTTCATTGTATGATACATGTAATTATTTCAGAAATATTCACAACATATATTAACTACTTTGAAATATTTCCACGATGGTAACTTTATATCACCATCAACTTCAGAATTATTGTTAATTGAAGCTGAACCAGATGAAGACAATTCTTCCACTACACTGCACGCCAATTTCAAATAACCCACACTAATCACACAATAACCAAGTACCCTGAAAATTAAAATAGACAAAACAGTCCACAATTGGAAGAGGAAAGGGAGAGACTTAGACAAAGAGAAGGAAAGAGAGAGAGGCTGAGAGACAGGGAGCATACAGATTACAGATTAGAAGTAAAACGGAGGAGAGAAGATGATACCTGAAGAAGGATGCCGGGCTCCGGTCGCCGGTGACGAGCGCGCCGGAGGGGACGGCGATGGATCGTGCGAAGACTGCTAACTAGGTCTGGTTTTACGACCCCAATTCATTTAATTTATTTAAAGTTTCAGTTATTTCAATTTGAACCCAATTTCTTTCAATCTATTCAAAATTGCCCCTCCCTCAAATAAAAGACAAGAGAGCCGCACCCACTGCGCACCATTGCCGCACCCCAGCACCAACACCCGCACGGTGCTTAGTGCGCCAGTATTTTGAAGCACTCGTGCTTCATAGGCTTGGATCATTTGCCAAGATAGCTTATAAAAAATAATGGCTCAAGCAGTTGAACTAATTGAACTAGATGTGCACATCGGTCCAATTTTGGACCGAAACGGGAAAAACCAGAAAATCGAAATCACTCGAAGTATAGAATCGGAAACAGGACCTGTTATATTTAATTTCAGTCCTGTTTTTCTTGTTTGGTCTGGGTTTAAACCAGAAAATCCTGGTATAACAATTCAATCCTCGTGAATCTCTAATGGCTCTGATCTGTCAATCATTAAGAGCCGCCAGCATGTTCTGGTCTTATCCCGCCCAATCATATAAGAGCAGTGGAAATACTTCTAACGCTCCTCCACGTTATGCAAGTTTTAACGGCTTAGAAGTGTTAAATACGACTCTCTTTAGCCGTCAAGCAGGCATTATTTGATGTGCGTTGAACACTTAACAGAAGAGGAAAAGCTAGGCCCCTCCTTCATACGGCTAATGCCGTTGAGTTTATAAAAAAACTTTTTTACTCTATAAATTCACTCTCATTTTTTAAAACAAAACACACACAAATCTTCAACTTTCTTTCTTATAAAATTATTTCTCATCTTCCATCAATTTTTTGATATACCCTGAAACGCAATCCCCACCGTTGAATTTGGCGGACCCAGACTCGATTCTAGAAACTCAACCGAAAAAAGTGCACGCTGGAATTTATTTAATGAACTATATCGGTTTTAATTTAATTAATTAATGAAATCTTATTAATTTACTTTAATATAATGTATTGCACCTTGTTGGTATGAGTAATACTATTAATCTTTTTTTAGTCTTTTTTTCCCAATCCATTTATTTTTCAAATCAGGGTATTACAGAATTTGTTGCATTGTTTGATGAAATTTATAGATATTGGGGGTACTAGCTGCATGTACATCAATGCCTTCAGCTTCTTGTTGTTGAACTTTTTCTAGAAATTACTTCTAAGGTGCCATAGGAAAAAAAAATATAAGTGACACGTTGTTAGGTGGGATTTTTAGTGTTAGGTGAGTTATGAGTTGGCTACAAGATATTTCTAGCGTTAGGTGGGAGAAGAGTTGGGTGCAATATAATTTATTGTGTTAGGGAGGAGTTGATTGGTGCATTATTATTTTTATGCTAGATGGGAGATAAGTTGGTGAAGGATAATTTATTTTGTTAGAAAAATAAACCAAAATATTTATTAGCCAATCTCAAAGGAATAAATAAACTTCACAAGCACACAGTTTAAGATACAACCAGTAAATTTTAAAAATTGAAAAAAACACAAATAAGATAATCTAAGAACCATGAAGTACATAAATAAAAAATGGCTACAAGTTAGAGTCATTGTCGTGAGACTATCCTTGAACTACGTCGTGGCTCCGTGTATTGCATCGCCTACCCCATATCTATTGGTGTGGCTGTCGACGTACCATTTTTGCCGGCTGCAAATGAGAACCCTGTTGGAGTTGTGCCCTGATGGCCAACTGTTCATCGTTATCCTATCACGTATAGGCAGATATAATATGTTTACACATCTCATGCTAATGTAAACAAATATTATATTCCTAGATTTATATTTAAAGATGTTTATCAGATAGTGTTATTCTGCTGATGAGACTAACATCTTGAAATAAATATTTATCTGAATGTCCATAGTCGAGTATTAACGAGAGTGGGATATCGTTAATGCATGTGAGACTAGTGTGTGTTGGATGTTTGACTTAGTCTCATAGTCAATGACAGTGTGTTCGCATCCGCACATGGGCAGATATTATCTAGAGATANTAGGATGCCGGACTGACCCATCCTAAAGATGTTGCTTGAACTTTTAGTTCATGCTCTAAATATCTTTAGCGCGACCACGGGTGTAACTATCATTTAACTTGAAGTATTACGTTTTCTGCATATGTGAACCCGCATACTTTGATGCATTGTCCTAAGTCATATGAAATAAGGATGGTATACAGGCTTTGTTTTGGGTATGTCGCAGCGCGTATTCAGAAACGTAGATTACGTACATAGGATTTGTCACTACTCTTTTTAAAAGAGATTAATGTCTTATGGGGCCCACTGATAAGTTATGATTGAGGAAATTGCATGGCCATGCTAAGATGCTTTTATGACGTCTGTTCCTATCAGTCAGACTTGATAAATCAGTGAATGACTTAATGGATACAAGCTGGATTTTATTAATCCCTTGCATTAAGTTTAGACATTTAGACAAAGGGATACAGTTACACGGAGTCTGAGTCGTGGAAAGGTTTTGACGGTGCAAACGTCTTAACTTATAATATGGGGGGCAATAATGTGTTGCTAGATACCGCTTATTGCTTATAGTATTGGTGCAGAGCCAATACTGTGGCCAGCTTTATAAGTGCCTATACGGGTCACACACTTTGGACAATTTAAGGAGTAGGATTAAACAATGGGATAATAAGTAATTTGTATATTTGTAAAATAGTAAAATAAAGTATTTTGGAATATAATATTATATATATAAATATTCGGTTATATATATATTTTATATATATGTGCCGATTAATATATATATATTATATATTGAATATTTTATTTTGGTTTGTCATTTTAATTATGAAAATAATTATTTTGACATAAACTATTTAAAGTATATTTTTATACTTGTTTAAAAATGATGTTGGTATTTTATTTGATTTAAAATTAATTTTTATATTAATTTTTGGTGTCAAATAAAATACACTTTGAACATTTAAGTGGAGAAGAATTTTGAAAATCCTTCTCACAATCACAACCATATTTCTTTCGGCCATGGGATGTTAATGAGGACAAAATTGTTTTGACTTTGCATTTTAAAGATGTAAGAAATTTCCTAATTTGTCATTAAGTGAATAATTGGATTTTAAAATCCACTTTAATGTTTCATATAATGATAAACACACATTCATAAATTTGGGCAAGAAAAAAAAAAGGTTTCGGCCATCACATTTCTTAGAGAGAGAAAGTTTATTTTGGTTCCATTAATATCATTTTGTGTATAGAAAATATCTATAATATTTTATAAATATTATTAGAAATATTTTCTATAGAAATATACAAGATTATTATTATCCCAATTTTAATCTTTATATTTTATACTACTATAATCTTTACTAGCATAAAGATTGTGGTAGACTCCGGCGTTGTTCGTGTGTCAAAGTTGGAGACCAGACGCTTGAACGGTTACGTTTGCACTTTCAACGCTCTTCCTACGACTTCTTCGTTTTTAGTGCTTACGAAGAAAGGTACAAATTTCTTACTATTATAAGTTTTAGTACGTGATTCTGGGCAAGATAATCATGTTAGGATGTTAAAAATTTTATATTCCGCTGCCTATCCTTGCAAGGTTAGCTTTCAAACCCCACATCTCGTCTTCCTGAGTCAGCTGCAAAATGGATTCCCCAAATATTTTTTTCTTTGAAGTGAAAGTGGTGTTGTTGGAAATCCTATGTGAAGCTGTTAGACAATAAAACTAATATTACTTCTGGTAGTATTGGTTATGGTATTGTTTCATTATTAGTCAGCTTCCTAATCCTATTTGTAGTAGATGTTGTATGTTAGTTAGTTTCCATTCTCTATTCCTAGTTGTGTTAGAAATCTCTCCTATATATACTCTATTATGTATTCCATAATTAAATGAGCAATATTATTATTCCAATATTTCGACATGGTATCAGAGCCACCGCTCTTGGTGACCTAAAAGAGTTCTTTGCTCCCACCGCCGTCGCCGGTAATTCCGGCGACGGCGGCTCCACCCTATTCACCTGTATTTTCTTTTCCTTCTTTTATCGTCAAATTAACGTCTCCATTCAAACAAAAAAAAAGGAAAATGACCTTGTTGAAATCATACAAAAAAACCATCAAAGGCAGAACTTCTCTCTTGTCATCTCCATGGTTCTTCAAAAAAAACTCAACTCACAAACTCTCTCAACTAATCCTATCTTCTCAAAAAAGAAAAAAAATGATAGTTGCTCTCCAATTCACCATATCAAAATCTCAAACCCCAAATCTTTTTTCCTTCACCAATTCTTAATCCACTTTTTTTTTCTCTCAAATTACTCATTCTAATCATCAATCTTTCTTCTCTTTTTCTTTTGTTACCCAAAATATTCAAAAAAAAACAACACAAAAGCAAAGCGAAGAGAGGAAGTAGTGAAAGAGAAAGAATACCTCTACAACCCTTCAAGAAAGAAATAGGGCATTGCCCGGATCCAAGAAAAAAGACAAAGAATGTCAAGGATCTTCAGTCAAACAGGCACATCCAGTAGCCTTTTCTATTCTTCTTCGACGTCAGCAGCTATAAGCGCACGTCAACCTTCTCTCCTCTTCTTCGACGCAAGCAGCTACCAACCCACGTCAATCTTCTTTCTTCTTCATCGACGTCAGCAGCTACCAACGCACGTCAATTTCTCTCTTCTCCAACGACGTCAGTAGCTACCAGTGCACGTCATACTTCTCTCTTCTCCAACGATGCCAGCAGCCACCGGCGCACGTCAGACTTGTCTCTTCTCCAACGACGTGAGCAGCCACCGGCGTATGTCAAACTTCTCTCTTCTTAAAGTTTCCAGTTTCCAGCTAGTGTCCAAGCTTTCTCTTGCTTCAGCCAGAGTTCAGCTTGAGGAGGGATGTTAGACAATAAAACTAATATTACTTCTGGTAGTATTGGTTATGGTAGTGTTTCATTATTAGTCAGCTTCCTAATCCTATTTGTAGTAGATGTTGTATGTTAGTTAGTTTCCATTCTCTATTCCTAGTTGTGTTAGGAATCTCTCCTATATATACTCTATCATGTATTCCATAATTAAATGAGCAATATTATTATTCTAATATTTTAATAGAAGCAAATATGTTGCTACAGAAACAGGTGGCAGATCATGTGAAGAGGATGCCAAATCCATGAATGGTGGCTATAGGGAAGCCGGTCAAAAGAATGATGTGGCTTCCTTGTCTCAAGCTGGTGTATGCACGTGGAACTTTAGGCTAGGGTCGAAATTACCTTAAATGGTAACACATGCATTGTTATTTTGTGACACACGACATTGGATGGTAGGTGACCTACAAAGATGGGCTGGCGGATCGAACCCTTCTTCTTTCATTTCCTTGCGTTGGCGTGCAACTCTAGGGGTTTTTTTTGTTGATTGAAGGCAAAGATATTAGATCAGAATGTGGGGTTAAAGTTTTCCAACATTAACAGTAGGGATGGGTTCGGTTTTAATGGTTTGGTTTTTACCTAAAACCAAAGACAGAACGGAAGACATATTGGCGGTTCTGTTCGGTTTTGTATTTAAAAAAAGAAAACCAATCGTTATACGGTTCGGTTTTTAGCGGTTTGAATTTTGGTTTTTTTCAATTCTTTCGGTTTTTAAAAAAATTAATTTAAAAGTGAAATAATATTTTGGGTAGAGATCTATTATGATATAGATATGCCAAACAATTAGTAGAGTTTGTAAACCTACAAGTAAAACAATAAATAAGCTACAATTACACCTAAAAAGTGGGAGAAATGTAGTAATTTATAGTCGAAAAATGTAAAAATGCAGTAAAAAAACTGGGAGAAAAGCAATAATTTCCAATCCCAAACTGCATTGACCAATCAAAAAACATATGATCAAAGATAATGTTTTTATCCAAGAAATCCTATGTTTGTTAGGTTAACAGTGTGCTCACCCTGTGTACTATTATGAGTATTATCTCAATCCCACATTAGTATTATATTGTCTCATTTGGATCAAACCCTCACACACACACACACACACACACACACACACACACACATATATATATTTGGGTACCTCCCAAAATGCCTCATACTAATGGGGTTGGATAAACATATTTATTTAGGTCATTCTTCTTCTCCTCTTTCGATTGGATGTAATTTGTACGTTAACAAACCTCCCATCAAATCCAGACCACACAATCTCGTGACCTCCCCTTCAACAATTATCCTTTTGATTTGCACGCCATCTTGCAGTGTCACTTTAACCTCACGAGACGCGCTGTCCGACCTCCTACTGTTGGAAAGACTTTCAATACAAGGTATACCGCAAACCACCAATATGTTGTGGTCACTACACTTGATCTATTAAATCATTTTGTATCATCATTAACACCAACGAGACTTGCTGTTTGACCTTTCCCTTTCCAAGAAGACTTTTTGATACAAGGCACTACCTGCAAATGTCTAGTCCTTGTTGTCACACAAGACACATTGATATAAATCCGAACTGATACAAACCCGAACCAAAACCAAAAACCAATCAAACCGAAATAAACTCGGAACCGAACTGACCCGAATCAAACAATCCAAACCGATTATAACATATATCTGAAAGAGATCCGAATCGGAACCGAACCGATTGACCCGATTGCGAGGTCTACTTGGAACCAGCTATTCCAATCTGATCCAGTTAGGTTTTCAAGCCTAACCCAAAATTTGTATCATTCGAGTTTAATAGTATATTTCTCAATCACACAAAAGTCCGTCTTCGTCTTTGCTGGTGTTCGAATTTGGGGGAACTCTTCCTCTGAACTCTGAGGTGGTGCGAGTGCCTCATTTGAAAGCACCAAAAAGGTCCATAATACTCTCTCCAATTATCACTACTGCGTCCTCCTTGCTCATCCACATAAAAATCGCTCTCCAATTAATGACTTTCCTGATGGTGGAAATTCCAAATCTGAAATATTACTATGCATCTCTCATTTTCATCAGTATTTGCTAGGTATTTTTTTTCATTTTTGCAATTTTATGTATTTTTCTTGAGATTTTGCTAGAACTCAAAAAGAAGTAAAAGTGAATACTTTTATAGTTTCAAGTTTTATAAAGTTTGCTTACTTTGCTATAACAAATCGTTCATCTCCCTACGTGTTCAGGGTTTGTCAGTAGCTGGATTGGTGTTCTCCACAGCTTTTGGCAGCAGGCTGATTGAAGATCACATTAGCTTCTCTCCTGGTCATTTTATCAAACAGCTGGTGCTCTTACAGAAAAGTACTAAGAAGCCAGCATGGATGGTTAGTCATTCCTACTCATTTTTTTAGTCATGGTTTTTTTAAGTATGATTTACCAGAATAATAACTTCAGGAAATCCGTAAAGAAAGTGTAGTGCTACTCAGTTGGAATGTATGGAATTAAAAATTGTTTGTATTCATTACAATGAGAATCTTTTATTTGTAAAGTGTTGGTTTCTAACTTTTTCATTCCTCTTTGGTCCGTGATGCCGTGATGAATCATAAATGTTCACTTCCAACAAAACCTCAGTTTTTCCCCACGCACAAAAAAGTAAACCTCTGCTTGAGAACAGGGAGAGGAGCTCCCCTTCTCGGTGAATTCAGTTATAATGTATGGATAACATCAACCTACACAATGTGTTCCCATAAGTGGGGTTTATATAGGACTTACCCCTACGGCCCTTCCTAAGCATGGACGAAGATATAAAAGTAGAAAAGAAATATAGTGGTGGAAAATGGCTTCTTGTAGTATTTTATGCAGTGATACGTAGCAATGGATTGTCATGGTTTGACATATTATTATGCCATGTTCATATAGTCGATGCTGAACCTACTATGGATGAAACTATCCTGGTGGGTGATGACCTAATGATGGGCCTACCATCACCAACAATTCCACCGGAGATAGCGTCTCATGTTCTTGAAGGTGTTGATACATGTGAGAAACTCTTAAGGAATCTTTTCCTGTGTAAGGGACTCCTAGCCTGCATCTGTATTCTATAGTTCTTTTTCATATCAAATTTGGCCAATTAACTCTTGTGCTGTAGGCTTACAAGTCAATGATATTGAACCATTTTGCCAGGATGAGATTGTCATGTATCAACAATGTGCAGAGAAACGGGTGAGGAAGACAATAAATACATTTACTATTATTACTCAAAATATTGGTTTTCTTTTTTTATTCATTGATACCAGATTCTATAAAATCACAATTTTATAGATGAAATTACACGGCTCTAAGAGTCTTGGCTGGGATTCCATAACACAATCTTGATCGATACATAATGTTATTTCTCTTTTATGATGATTTGTTATTGAATAACTTAGTGCGTGTTGTGGTTTGATTTATAGTTCTGTTGTGTAGGATAAGGTGCTCAGACAACGGCTTCAAGATAGTGAGCTTAAATTAGGTTTGTCAATGCCTCTAAAGAAAGCAAAAGAACGAGCAACCCATCTAGAATCAGAAGCTACATCACTTGAGAGGTACTATAAAGTGGACTACTTCATATAAAAAAGCTGTACCCATTGTCCCAGAGCCAAAACTCTGGAACAATTGGGGGAGAAGGGGGGGATTCTATCTAGGGGGAGAATGGCATACAACGTGGAATATATTTTTTGAATGGTGTAAATCTAAGCAATAGTTCATTGTCCTTTCCCCCACAATGTTATTTGATACTGATTGTTTTGGGTCTGAAAAGCGTCTGATCGTGATCTTGCGACTAAATTTTTGTTTTCCTAATTTAGGCGCTTAATATTGGCAAGTGGCGTTGAGGGCATGGAAGGATTTCGACAGAGGTGGAGTCTCCATGGCCGTCTTACCGATACCAAGTAAGCAAACATTATCAAACATCCAGTCTAAAAGTTGATCGATTGATAACCATATTTGTTTGTTATCTCAAGGGCATCTGAAATGCACAGTTAACCAAAACAAAGGTCCCAACTCAACAGGAAAATTTTTAGCTCATTCTATAAATCTTCTCAACAACATAAACTCTTCAAACAAGTTTGTCACACCACCGATTCACTTGCAGTAGTAGTATATACTCCCTCCGTCCCAAAAAAATGTCACACTTCACTATTCAAAAATCACGGGAACTTTTGTTTGTTTGTGTGTTTTCATTGATTATTTGATAAAATAAAATATTCTCGTCACTTCTTGTTTTGTAGAACTTTTGACGTAGTTTTTAAATATATAAGTTTTATTTTTTATTTCTATATCAATCTTTAAATAAAATGAATTGAAAAAACTTGAGATTTTGCTTCGTTTTACATAAAGTTACAATCTTTTAGGGATGAAGGGAGTACTATTGTATGAAAATTTGCTGAGAAATAGTGATCACAATGAGCTCATCAATATGATGACTTGTAAGTTATAAAACTAAGACAAGTTCCAAAATTCGGCAGAAATAGTGGCCAAAGAAGGAAGACAAACTAAACACAATTTTTCTCCAAAAACTGGATTGTAATCACGATAAACTCACGTTTCACTCACTCACTAGTGGAGGCGGTTTTTAGATAAACCCAAGAAAAAGCCACCGTTGGATATGGCCGAATAATTTAGATGTATTGTGCTGGTATGTGCAATTAAAGTGGTGTGCTTGACTCTTCTTCTACAGAAAAAGGCTGGAATCTCTGAAGCAGGGCATGGATAGTAGAAGGAAGGACAATGAGGCAACTGGAAGTACCTCCATAAAAAAGAAATGGTTCTTCTGGTGAAAGCCGTTTTTTTTTCTCTGCCCTATGCACGATCGCCATTAACAGTAGAAGAAAATTACAAAGTCCAATGATGGCAAATGAAATGGGCGTTGGCGAAATTCCTCTGGTGCTGACCATGGCAGTTTATCACATTTCCAATTCTTTGAAAACAGCAGCAGCAAATCATATACAGTAGTTGGTTTAGTTGGATGCCGAGTTTTGTCGAATGGCTCATTATATTTTATTTCTGTTTTACCATTCTTGTGGCTACCGAAAAATGTCCTTTTTTACCAACAGTAAATTAGGAAAATGTTTAAATGACAAGTTGGAGTGGCCAAGTTTTCACACACTTCACACATGGGAGGACTTGTGTTTGGGTCAATGTGGAGGTGATAGGGTTTTCTCATTGATGAACTAAAGGCCTCTTGTGTGTAAAAGTCTACATATAACAAAAAAAGTTAAAAAGTTAAAGTTGCATTTTACTATTTTCAATCACTTTTTTTTACTTATTTTCACTACTCATCTGATAAATAAAATTGTCATGTCACTCTTTGTTTTGTTCCTAATAGAACTTTTGATATAATTTTTTAATATATAGATATATTTTTTTAAATTCTAAACCAATTCTCAAAAAACATGAATTGAAAATAATTGCAAGTAAATAACAAGTGGTTTAAATTGGAATGGAGTATCCATTTGCATCTTTTAATTCTACTTGGGAGTAAATACACAAGCCGGACATTGATAAGAGATACAATGTGCAGACTCCATTTCTAGCTAACAATCTGCGATTAAAGTCTAATTTATCTATCTTAGCGACCATTTGACCGGGTCTGAAGGGATCCTCGGAGAGTCGGAGATAGGGTTCATCCTTTTTTAGATAGAAAAATTTCCACCGAAATGAAGGAAAAGTAAAATGTCTAATGGGTATTGAGCAAATCGTGTTTTAAATGGCAAATATGTCTTGCAAATGATTTTGTCACTCATCTATGTCGACAATTTCCGTACCCAATCTCTAAGGTATTCTAGAAAATTAATTTTTTAATTAAATATGGAAAGTAGAAAACTAAATTTAGACAAATAAAAAATTTTAAAAAAATTAGTAACTACATACGGATAGAAAGTGTACGGTATGAGAGCATGTGCAGCGGCGTGGTGAATTACTCCCACGCCCTGCCAGATCAGCTACACCATGCGTGGATGAGGCGAGGCATAGCAATTTCATCCCTTTCTCTGTGTCAAGCGCGAGGCATTTCCTTTTCATTTTTTATTTTTTGTTAATTATTTTTTAATTTTTTTAATTTATTTATTTTTTGTTAAATAAGAAATATTTTTAAAAGGAGTATATCTATTTTTATTTGAAAAAAAATATAAACAAAATAAATTTAAATAATTAAAACATGTGAAAAAGATAAAAACAATGACTTGCCACTACATGACATACCACTCCACTCCCGTGCCACATGCTGACTGGATTGTTTTTAATTGGTTGAAATCTTCCACATCATCGTGTGTCATTTTATTTCTTTCTTGCCATTGTGAATGCTCTGAGACTACTAATGGGACGAAGAAAAATATAAGAGAAAGTGTACGATATGACCCGGGAGTAATGGAACAAGGAAAAATATAACAAACAAAAATAATATTGCATATGATGAAAGAAGTATGTTACTAAGGAAAACATCAACTTTGACAATGAGTAGTACTCTCCCACCGTTTTAGAGCATTTATCCCGTTCAAATTTTTTTAAATCATATTGGGCGAACTTTGAAAATGTAATGAAATCATTTTTATACTACGTCACAATATGCATAATGTAATTTTTTTATGTAAATATTGCTCAATGCTCATCCAATCCTTTATATATATAAAGGAGAGTCGGAGCTATAAGAACGTGACATTTGGCAGAGCTAAAGCACGACATGTGGCGAGCTGATGTGGTGACATTTGGCAAAGTTAAAGCGCGGACATGTGGCGAGCTAATATGTCACCCTTTTAGACAAACCGATCAGTTTGACCGGTTAGACCAGTTCTTTTTTTGCAATTTTTTTCCAAAAGCATACCACCATGGGGTTTGAAACAAGGATCTCTTGGTCATTTAGTTGAGTTGCTAACCATCCAAGCTAGGGTGTTTTTTGTTACAATCTCACTTAAGCTTTAGTAATGTTTCATAATTAAAAAAGGATTGTATAAAAATTTCTTTTTAGTTATAACAAAATATAATCTTTTAATATAATATTTAAGACTCCGTTTGCTAAAAAGTCGCCAAAAGACAAGCTTATGTGGGTTATATTAAGGTGAGATGGTAAGTCTTTATTGGTTGCTTATGTGGCAAATTTTATTAATGATGAATTGACCTTTCTTTTTATTTTAAAATAGAAATTTAATAATGATTTTAAATTTTGGAAAAATTTTACGTTAAAAGATTTAGTAGAAATAAAGAATTCACTACTTCGTGACATTAGTTGAGTATTTATATTTTTATTTTTAAAAAGCAATTCATCTATTTATTTGTTATGATGTGATAAAATTAATTATGTTATAAAATCAAATTTGTGAAAGATAAATGTAGTATTGTCCGAAATAAAATTTTTAAAGGAAAACAATTATATAAAATATAATTTTATGATAAAAATTATTATGATGTAGCAAACAATTAGTGAANAAGTGCATACACAAAAAACAAAATTTTGATAATGATATATTCTCATTTAAGAGTATTCTTATAGAAAAGGATCAAATATGTTTATAATTGATCCTTTATTTATAAAATTGATATTTTAATCTTTAAGAAGCAGAGATGTGATATTGTTTAAGAGACATTTCTGACACGTAAAATATATTATAGAAAGTAAGAAGTTAATACTATTGTATGAAGTCCTTCGGTACAATTAATTATGGAAGAGAATATAGATATTCATTTTTATAATAATTATTTTCTAATTATGTATAATTTTCTATTCAATTATTACAAAACTTCTAAAAGTGTGTTTGGTGAGCAAAAAAAATATGAGTTTTGAATGTTGAAATCTCCAGATATCTTTATCCTTTTCTGGTGTTTGGTTAAGCTAAAAGAGTTATCAAATTTAATATCTGCAGATATCATAAATCTTTAAAATTGATAGTCTCAGTATCTCTCGAATTTGGAAGATATCAATATAGGGGTTTGATATCTCTCTCAAGTATCGATCATTCTTCGTCACTCGCTACCATTATCACTGCCAACCACTCCCGTTGCCAGTCACCTTTTCTTACCACTAATTAAATCCTGATTTTAAATCTGTCCAAATAAAATCATTTCAGATTACAATGTCCATATCATTTCTCTGAGTTTTCATAACCCACGTCTTATAATGTCTCCAAAATTCACCAAATTGGCCCTAAGCAATTAATAAGATATTTCTTCACTTCTAAATAAATTTCATATTTTTATGATATATTTAAATCGAAGCAGTCAGTTTGATTATATTTATTAAAATATGAGAAGATTAAAAAAACTTATTTTAAAACTACGATGAAACTTTATAAAAATGAGAAGATTAGAAAATAAATTGTTAAAGCACGTAAAATATATTAGACTTTTAAGTTGTTGAGATAAGATATTTATTTTGTACTCAATAGCTTGGTTTTAGATTTGCAATTACTTCAGACACAATTTTGATGTCAACAATTGTGTATTTTATCAAATTGCATTTCCAATTCTCAACTTTTGATTATATTATATTCGTAAGAAATTTGAGAACCAAATATATGTAGTATGAATAAGTACACAATTTAGGGTTTAGAAATTGCATCGGATGTAATTAGAAATACATGACTAATATGTTGAGTATGAAATAAATGTACTATCTCATCTAATTAGAAGTTCTAATTAGGTTGAGGACTATTTTCAAATTAAAATATTTTGTAGGGATGACTTTATCAAAAAATATTTTACTGAGACGAAAAAATTTCTTATGTTATAGGGTATAAAAACATATTTAAACATATTTTTATTATATTATAAGAGACAAATGATTAAAACAAAATATATCGTTGGGACTTATTATATTACACTAACATTATTTATGATTTTATTATCATTGAGTACATTTAATTAAGAAAGAGAGAATTTCTTTTAATTTTTTTTCATTTCATTTATAATAATAGTTTCGATGAATATATAAACTACTCTCTTTATCTTTAAAAAAATTTCATATTTCTTTATGTTATGATTCAGAGAAGTTAGCTTTATTCCATTTATTTAAATAGTGATGTAAAATAACAAATATTTCTTAATCCCTATATCAAAATTATATATATTAAGTGTTTAAACCATACGGAGTATTACTTAGCAGGATTATTTAATTTGACTTTTGTACTTTATCTTTCTAATTTGACCTATTATTTTAATCAAAGAAGGTTTGCACTGTAACTTACCATATTTAAGATGTAACTTAAGATTTATAAATGTATATTAGGTGATATTTCACTATATTGATGCATGAAAATAAAAAAGATGGATGAAGTATGGCTCGATTCTCTTTTCTTCATTTTCGCAATCATACAAAGAAATTTAAAAAAAATGATATTCTTAGAGATGAAGCGATATAACATGGATTTTCACAAAAATATTTCTATAAGGAAAATTAAGATTTGGAGGTCGAGAAACGCGTGAAGATTTGTGACAATTAAAATTTAGATGCAAGAATAATCAGTATTTTAAGGAGAAGTACGAAGAATATCTTATGTGCAGAAGTGAATAAGATTTAGGTTAAACTAGAACATCAAAGAGAAATATAATTTTTAAATTGTAACTCTTTGTATTTTTAAAACATTATGTATTGACCAAAATACTTTCACACACTTAAATGATTGAATATTTAAAAAAGAAAGAAAAAAAATGAATAAAAATTGTGAAATAGTTTTTGTAAAATTTCATTAAAATCATAGAATCACTAATTTTTTTTTGCATTCACATAATTTTTGAAATAATACGAGGGAGAATAATCATTATATTTTTAATGTATTGTAAAATTTATATTTCTTATCATATAATTGTTAATTTATGTTTTCACACTTTTAATAATACAAGAAAAAAGAGTCAATTTTTAATTAGTGCAAAGGGCCAAGGAGAGAAAGAATCACATTAATGCATCATAGAAATTAAAATCATATATTTCCGTTAATGTAAATTAATCTGGCGGAGAAGAATCATGATTTTTTTATATTAAAATTACAAGATCAGAAATCTAAGTTTGTTAAATAAATGCAGGGGAGAAGAATAATAAAATCACCAATGTTTTTGTCGTATATTTTTTGAATTCAGGGGGTGAGAAGAATTATATATTTGTAATGATTTAGTAAACCTAGATTTTGTGTGTGTGTGTGTGTGTGAAATTTAAATGGTATATAACATAAAAAAATTAAGTTGTTTAAATATTTGATATTGTATAATAAAAAACAATTTAAATGGACATTCAATTTAAAATGTTGTCATTTGAATGTAATGATTTTGTGCATGTTTGTACTCTTTTGAATTTCAAATGAGAAGCTTGCTTCATGCACATATCTTAATATGGTTACACTAAAGGGATAACCTTCAATCGCTAGAGTCAATTGATCGTGTGACATGTGTAGAGGTTCATAATAAAGATAAATATCCTAGATTTTATGAGTTCGTAACTCGATTATTGATGCATGATCCTTGTAGCATAAATGATCCTAGATCTCTATATATGGAGAATGATAAATTTATGAAACATTTTTCCAAAAAATTTATTGATAAGACATCGTTTGATGGGAATAACTACCTGATATACAAAAGAAGAACCTTAGAGGTCACCACAATATAATGAAAAAGAATATCGAGTTGGATAATCGAATTGTTGTGACATACAACCCACAACTCTTGATGAGGTTTCAAGATCAAACAACATTGAACATTGAAATAAATCTAATTCAATCAAATATCTCTTTAAATATGTAAATAAAGATCTAAATAAAGTAACTGTTGCAGTTACCCAATCTAACTTTGGCATTGTTGATATTATGGTGTATTATGAAACAAATAAGTATTCTGATTGTCATTACGTATCTGCATGTGAAGCCTCTTGGATAATCCTCTCTTTTGATATACAACAAAGGTAGTGATCAGTACTGAGATTGAATTTTTATAACCCAAGGCTAAAATTCGTAACCTTTAGACACCAACAAAAACTAAAAGATGTTGTCAAAGAAATTATTGATAAAGCCTCAATGTTTGAAGCTTGGATGATTTTCAATACAAAATATAATGCGGGATAAAATTTGACGTATGCAAAGAGTTTCGAGAATATTTTATGTACAACCACAAAGTG